CATCAATTTCACAAGAAAACTGTTTTTCAGGTTGTGAAGACCGTAAAGCCCTACCATACGCAGTCTGATCCTGAGAAACCAAGATACCTGGAGTACGGAAAACCAGCAGATTTTGAATGCAATATTGACGGCACACCACGACCAGATTATAGTTGGTAAGTGAAAAGAAGTTACCCTAGGGATTGAATTTCAAGTGGGATTCTATAGGTTAAAAGATGGTAGACCCTACGAAGGTGGCGAGCTGTCACCAGACAATCGGCGGCTTCACATAGCGAGGGTGGCGGCTGAGGACAAGGGAGTTTTTGAATGTATGGCCACAAACCGAGCTGGCACAATTGTGTACAAGTTTGCAGCGAAGGTAAAGAATTTGAAAAGAGAACTTTTATGCGCTCTGATGTCCATTCATGTTACTGCTATAGGTGAAAGGGGCGGGCGCGAGAGTGTCGAGACCTTTCTTGTTCATGATCTTCATGCTATTGTTGGGATTGCTATGCTGTTTGGTAACAGCTTTGGTACTGTACTTTAAGCAGCGAAAGACAGCTATAGAACAGGAGAGGTAAGCGGATAGTGTTATGTCATATCATAATTGTATTGCGAACAACATTCTCTATTAGGGCATCTCTTTTCTTGGAAACGAAATCCCGAACCAGAGTGTATAAGTGTGCTATACCTCCGCAATGATTTAGAAAAATCTGAGAGCACAATTTTAGCTTTTATCAACTTAGAGTGCAAACAATTTGCGCAAAAAAACCATTGTTCTAGCTATAACAGAACAGTTCGTTTTTTTAGATTACGTAGCAGCTCTAATGAAGCACACATCAAAACTTTCATATGTCTCCCTTACAGTTCAACTTTGCAGAGCTTTGAACGTCCTCTACGAACAATTGATGAAAGCAGCTGAAGGTCCTCCTTCAAGTGGTCCTAAGTTACCGTTAGATCAGCGTGTCTATCAACTGCCATACAACAGACAGTATGAACTGGAACGAGACAATCTCGAAATAGGAAACAGGGTGAG